AGGCAACACAAGTATCCATCATCAGGTGGGACCGTCACAGCTAAAATTACTGCATCAAGTGAGGAAAATTCCAAAAGACCAGCCCTTAAATACAAGTTAAAGGGGCAGGGGCTTATCTGAATGTGGTAACCAGGGAATGGAAACGTGGGGGTGGTGGGCGGGGCTACAAGAGAAATTGGTCAACGTCGTGTGCAAGAAAACGGAGCTACAAGAGAAATGTTCAACGTCGTCATGTGACTTCTATTCATTTACAATGGCATCAGTTAGTTAAAGTGGCCTGCGTTCAATTCCATAGAGATATAATGAGAGCGCCAAGCGGACACCAATCACGTGCATGGAGTTAAGTTAGTGAAATGCATATCTAGTCACATCACAGTGAAAACCGACTTCAATCCCTTTCATAGAGATGTGTTTCTTTTAATAAAATACAATCGCTTTCATAAGCATGAACTTAATAGCACTTATGTCACTTCCATACATATGTGTTAGTTAACAGGATCTCCACTGAATGTCATATCAATCTTAAGTTACACGAATTCCATTCACTTCCGAACTATTTTATAAAAAATGATAAATAAGCATTCACATTCATTGAGAACTCGTTGAAGTGACCTGATGCACAATTATATAGATATTTCAGCTAAAGCGACTTCTATTCTATCTTAAGAAATGTTTACTTTATAAAGCCACCACTCTTCATTAAACGAAGCCCGTTAGAACATTGTTATGTATTTTGGTTTTCCAATTATGCCGGTGTATGTGAGGTATTTGTGATGCCGCCGCCACCGAAGCCGTTCGGCAGGCGCACCATCCCCGACCTCGCCCACCCCAAGCAACGGAGCCAACCCCTCGCCCCCCTCACCTCACATCACATTAACACACCCGCACGCATTTTCCCCCACCCATAGAGCTGGAAGGGGAGATCACCTTTGATCGACCGGTTTTTATCGAGAAACCCTTATCGGGATTAACTCTCACGGTTTCCGGCGATCAGGGAACTTGGACGACCTCCCCGTGCTTACGTTGCGCCGCGGCGCTGCGACCTAGCCTTAATATGGTGGGTCGCGGCGTGGGGCATTATGGCCACCGCGGTTGAGGCGCATTTCCCCCCAACACACCCCCAACGGGTCGACGAGACAGGCGGAGGAGGGACGGGGCGGCATAGTTTAGGGTGCGCAGGAGCGCGGCGCCATGCATGAGAGGGAGATTAATACAGGAGCGTGTTTGAATCGGCACCGCAGCACATCGATTAGCATAACAAAAGCGCCGTGGAGGCGCCGCGGAGCCGCCGTGCTCGTGCAAGGGGGGGCGCGAGCCATTGTTTAGATTTTACGCCGCGCGAGCAGGACATTGATTAGCATATGCGCCGCTCATGAGCGGAGAGCATTCGGGAGTACGGGACAGAGGATAAAAGGGATCGCAGAAGGTAGAGAGAGGTCACTTCTCTTCAAGAGGCACGCGTTCAAGTCGGCTCCCAGCTATGCCCTCTGGACGTCCGCGTGACGTGCCCCGACGGCATAGAGGAAAAGCCACAGGACGCCGAATACTTCGACCCGTGAGTAGCAGGTGACAGGGTATCGTAAGCCGATAAATAAGGAATAGGTCCAGGGGAAGTAGGATAGGCAGCCTCGTCGACTCGTACTGACGTAGCATCAATTCGCGAGTATCAGATAATAAACCATTAATAGCGAAGCATGGCCTCGCGTGATCTTGTCGAGCAGTGTGAGCGTGTGGGTGCGCGGGTGTACACAGTGGTTCGCCACGTGAGTGAGCGCTGCGCGGAGCTGAGCGCGTGGGTGAGCGTGTGTACACAGTGGTTCTGTAGTGCTGCGGCTCGCCTCGGGGGAGCGCTGCGCAGAGCGGTGCGAGAGTGGGTGTCGCGTGTGTTCACTCCGTGTGTGATACAGGTGCGCGATCATAACGCGAGTATTCAGTGGTGAGTGAGTGCCGCGGGGAGCTGTGTGTGTGAGTGCGCATACGTTCGTTACGTGTCGGATACAGATGCGCATTGGTAACGTGGTTATTCGACGTGGAGGCGAGTGCCGCACAGGGCTATAGACGGGCACACGCTCGCAATGTGCGAGAGCTGTACGTAGCAGTGTAAAGAGGGGGAGTGTGGCGTTTGATTGTTGATGCTGTGCGCACGTATGCTCGCAGCGTGGGAGCGCGGCGCGAGGCTGTAACAGTAGGGGCGTCGCGTTCGAATGCCGGCGAAACCGTAGCGGGAAATAGGGTGGTGGGGTAACGTAAACGGAATAGGGGATGCAGGCGGGAGGGACCCCGGGGGCCAACGGCCCCCACATATTCAACATCATGATTCACGATCGCAGTGACAATGGCAGGGGTCTCATAGCCTCGTGTCTCCACCAGTGCCGCCAGACCGTCAAACACCCCGGGCTCGAGCTTCGTGATCTGATTGACGTCCAAATCCAGCCTTTGCGTGGTGGTGGGGATTCCCGCAGGCACAGACGCGAGGCCTATCACTTCACAGAGCACTTGTGCCCCTGAGCACGAACACTGCGAGGGACGGGCGACGGTTTAGAGGCGGCTCACAACGGCCTCCCCTTGCACGCGAACGGCGTCGCGTGTGGTCCAACATTTAGACGAATCGCCTCTTACTGATGCGCTTCGTAAAATGTTCTCGTTACATATTTTAGAGTGCTTAGCGTGTATGTGTTACGTTGTTTTATTCATCCAAAACATTTTGATGTGGAATTATGGTCGTATTGTGTTAATGTTTTTTTTCGTGAATAGTGAAGATGCATTTCTTTTTCAAGGACTCCACTGAAAATAGTGGATTTCAAAAGTCTCTCGCCTGGTTAAATGTAGCAATGGGGTATCTATCTCGATATTTAGATGTAAATTCAACATCACCAGCGTGGATATTAATCCACTGCTGGACACTATATCTGATCTATTGAGACGATATTCAATGCATTGTGTAGAATATCTGTGAAGCAGTTAAAATGCAGTATTTACTGACATCATTGCTGACATCAGTTATATAAGAAGCACCATTGTTATTTAAGGATTGGCGTTAAAGGAAATACATTAACCTTGACACGTTATTCTTGAGACTGTCATTAATGGAACGTTTTTAATTTTTATACAAATATCCATGATTGCACATGAAGTGTTATAATTGTTTAGAAGCTCGTGTTTGTTGTTGTTTACTATTGTGTATTTCTGTTCGTATTTTTACGCTGATAATTTTCGAATGTTCATAATGGGTACATTATCACCACCGGTGAGACTCTCAGGGGCGTGGCTGCAGCTCCACGGCGAGTCGCGCCCCTGGGAACGCTCTTCAGCTGATTGTGGTCCAGTGCCAACCACTGCAGATTCACCAGGCGGTCAAACACCCCCTCGGGAAGAGCCTGCAGCCGATTGCTACCAAGATCCATAGAAGTGAGCTGCGTTAGACTGTCAAGCACCCCTGGCTCGAGCTTCGTGATCTGATTGTTGTACAAACGCAGCATTCGCGTGGTGCTGGGGATTCCCGTAGGCACAGACGCGAGGCTTCTCCCGTAGCAGTCCGCATCTGTCCCCGGGCACGAACACTGCGCGGGATGGGCGAAGGTTTAGAGGCAGCCACGACTGCATTATGTTCTACCTTCATAAACGCCCTGCAGAGAGCACTCATCGCACGCCTGGATTACGTGAATATTTTAAAGATCAGCGTTTTACTGAAATTAAGTAAAAAAAATACACGTGATTTGATACTCGTTTTGCAGTCATTGCGGACCGGGCTGCGGCCATTAGCTGGCTGGTCACGTGGGCAGAAAGCAGATAAATCCGACTGCACGTTTCGAGAAGGCGTGCACTCAATGATGTCAGGAAAAATTTCTACGTTACGTTTATTCTACCGTGATATCACAAACGCATGACATGTAACATAGAAGTTGTCCATGTTTGAATCACCGTGTAATTGTTTACAGTGAGGCGTTATCACGTTGATATGAAGTCCCTCAGGGGACCCAAAATACTCTTTGGTCGAAATGAAATAAAACAAATCACGACGTTTCGATCGCAACACAAGCAATCTTCATCAGGTGGAACAACCAGAGCATGAAAAAATGCTGAAGTAGGCGAAAGTGTCCCTCAGGGACGCTTTTTAAATTGTTGTTGGGCAAACTCGATGGTCAAGTCAGTCTAAAGAAATTAAAATGTTATACAAACCAGTCGACGGCTCTGCCCACTGGTATCCATCTCAAACTGACCCAACTTACGCGATTGGAGCTGCGCAATAACAGCTGGAGACCGTTGCACATGTCCAGGTTTTACCCACGAGCACCTGCAGTCCGTGTGCACGATGCACGCTCAAATGGGGCTGTGACGTCATTCTTTAGCGAAGTGGTGAATTTACACAGCCGGGTCAGTTTGTTGTTGATCTTGAGTCCATTGGTTAAACCGAACCTTCGTCTAAGCCCCGTCTCCTCACACACAGACTCTTTACAATTTGCACTCTACTCTGTGCTGGAGTCTCAGGAGGTTTC